GACAAGGATGTGATGCCACAGGAGACCTGTGATGTCACAGGAGAGAATGTGACATAATAGGAGACATGCGATGTCACAGAGGAGGATGTGATGTCACAGTAGAGGATGTGATGTCACAGAGAACGATGTGATGTCATAGGAGAGGTATGATGCCATAGGAGAGCTGTGATGTCACAGAGGAGGATGTGGTGTCATAGGACAGATGTGATGTCACAGAGGAGGATGTGATGCCACAGGGAACTGTGATGTCACAGAGGGGGGTTGTGATGTCATAGGAGACATGCGATGTCACAGAGGAGGATGTGATGTCACAGGAGAGGATGTGATGTCACAGAGAACGATGTGATGTCACAGAGGACGATGTGATGTCATAGGAGAGCTGTGATGTCACAGGGGTGGATGTGATGTCACAGGGGAGATGTAATGTCACAGAGGAGGATGTGATGTCACAGGGTAGCTGTGATGTCACAGAAGAGGATGTGATGTCATCGGAGACATGCAATGTCACAGAGGTGGATGTGATGTCACAGAGGACGATGTGATATCACAGGAGAGCTGTGATATCACAAAAAAAGATGTGATGTGACAGAGGAGGATGTGATGTCACAGGAGACCTGCGATGTCACAGAGGACGATGTGATGTCACAGGGGGGTTTTAATGTCACAGACTAGGATGTGATGTCATAGGAGACATGCGATGTCACAGAGGAGGATGTGATGTCACAGGGGAGGATGAGATGCCATAGGAGACATGCGATATCACAGAAAAAAACTTGATGTCAGAGAGGAGGATGTTATGTCACATAGGCAGATGTGATGTCACAGAGGAGGATGCGATGTCACAGGGGAGGATGAGATGTCATAGGAGACACGCATTGTCACATAGGAGGATGTGATGTCACAGAGAACAATGTGATGTCATAGGACAGCTGTGATGTCACAGAGGATGCGGTGTTGTCATAGGAGACATGCAATGTCACAGAGGGGAATGTGATGTCATACGAGACATGCAATGTCACAGAGGAGGATGTGATGTCCCATAGGACCTATGATGTCACAGGAGAGGATGTGATGTCATGGGAGACATGTGATGTCTCAGAGAAGGATGTGATGTCACAGAGGACGATGTGATATCACAGGAGAGTTACTATGTCACAGAGGAGGATGTGATGTCACAGGGGAGTTGTAATGTCACAGACGAGGATGTGATGTCATAGGAGACCTGTGATGTCACAGAGAAGGATGTGATGTCACAGAGGAGTTGTAATGTCACAGAGGAGGATGTGATGTCACAGGGAGCTGTGATGTCACAGGGGGGATGTGATGTCATAGGAGACATGCAGTGTCACATAGGAGGATGTGATGTCACAGGAGAGCTGTGATTTCATAGGAGTGTTGTGATGTGACAGAGGAGGATGTGATGACATAGGAGATCTGAGATGTCAAAGAGGAGGATATGATGTCACAGGGGGGCTGTAATTACACAAAGGAGGATGTGATGTCATAGGAGACATGCGATGTCACAGAGGAGGATGTGATGTCACAGAGGAGGATGTGATTTCACAGGAGAACTGTAATGACTCTTAGGAAAATTTGATGTCACAGAAGAGGATGTGATTTCACCAGAGAACTGTGATGTCACAGCGGAGGATGTGATGTCACAGAGGAGGATGTGATGTCACAGAGGAGAATGTGATTTCACAGGAGAACTGTGATGTCACAGGGGAGGATGTGATTTCATAGGAGACATGCGATATCACAGAGGAGGATGTGATATCACAGAGAACGATGTCATGTCACACAAGAGCTGTGATGTCACAGAGGAGGATGTGATGTCATAGGAGAGGTATGACGTCATAGGAGAGCTGTGATGTCACAGAGGAGGATGTGGTGTCATAGGAGACATGCAATGTCACAGAGGACGATGTGATGTCATAGGAGAGCTATGATGTCATAGGAGAGTTGTGATGTCACAGAGGAGGATGTGATGTCGCAGGGGTCCTCTGATGTAACAGAGGGGGGTGTGATGTCATAGGAGACATGCGATGTCACAGAGGAGGATGTGATGTGACAGGAAGGATGTTATGTCACAGAGGAAGATGTGACATCACACTGGAGGACGTGATGGCACAGGAAGTATGTGATGTCACAGGAAGGATGTGATGTCACATGCAAGCTGCGATGTCACAGAGAAGGATGTGATGTCATGAGGAGGATGTGACATCACAGAGGAGGATGTGATGTCACAGGGAGAATGTGATGTCACAGGGGAACTGTCATGTCACAGGAGAGGTGTGATACCACGTTATAAATGAGATGTGATGTCACAGAGGAGGATGTGATGTCATATGATAGATGTGACTCAGGGAGGAGCTGAGGTTGGGGAGGGCAAAACTTGCCCCTGAATGGATCGGGAATGGGGACCCCCCTGCGTTCCCCTGTGTCAACCTGCTCGGGTGGGGGTTTGGGACGGCACCTCCCCTTCAATTTGCATCCAGCTCACTCGAAAAGGTGTCAGGACCACCCCACAGACCCCCAAGGACCCTCTAAATCCATCCAGAGCCCACCCAGGACCCCCTCAATCCCCTTTTTGGGAGGACTTTTAGGAGCACTGGTGGCTGAGCTGGGCAGCAAAGTTCATACCTGTCTACAACCTGAGTCACTGAAATGCTGATTTTTAAGCACAGAAAGGAGAAGTTTGAGGCAGTTTGCTGAAGGCAGAAGGACTGATTTCTCATGTATTGTAATTACTTCTGAAATGCTTCAAAGTCTGGTTTTCAGGGGTTTATTTAATTTGGCAAGTTCTTGGGGTTTTCTTGGGCTGTTCTTTGTGTGGGGGGTGGGTGGGTTGGTTGTTTTTACAGTTACTTGTCTCATATACTTGGTGCTTTTCCCAGGAGAACATTGATTTGTGTAGAGACAAAATCCCTGGAGAATATCTTAATCTGGGGATAAAAATACTCCCCTGGGAAGGATGCAGGATGAGTCTGTATTATTTATTTAAGAGTTTCAGGCTTACAACGAGCAGTTTCAGCCAAATTTTCTAAGTGACTAAGGAACCCTTTTCTCCAAATGTCCTCCCTGAGGCAGTTGCAAATCCCCAGTTTTTATTCAGTTTTCTGGAATGATTCTAAAGGAATTAAATGCTTTGTTTGGCCATCATCTAGGCAACTGCTGCCACGGATAACATCGATTGTAAGAAGGTAGAAGAGAAGGACATGAAAGGGCCACCTATGAGCAAAAAGTAGTTTTCATTTTCAGTAGTCTCTGAATTTTTGTTACTAGTTTTCTGTTTCTGTGGAAGAGTTCAGTGTCCTCCCTCCTGGGAGGGATGGGAACAAATGATTAAACGTGGAAAATGTTCCATTCCAACACTGCAAACTGTAATTTGTCCAGATGGTCTAAAGATGTCCAGATTATCGAAAACCTTCCATATTTTTGTTTTCAGGGAGAGAAAAATATTTGATGAAGAAATCCAGCAAAGGTAAAAGTGCAAGGCCAAGCCTCAGCCTGTGGAAAGCTGAGGGATGGCACCGGCAGCCCCAGAATTACATAGGGAAAATAAGAAACACAGGAATTGTGGGGTGGGATTGAGCCATTTTCAGTGGGATTGATCCACTTTGAGGTGACAGGTTGAACCCTCTTGACTTTTGGGATGCAGAGCTGGGAGAGACTGGAATGTTAATGGTCCATGGCTCCAACACTCTCCAGTTGCAGAAGCAGTGGGGGCTTTGCTGCCCAAGGGCAATGGAACTGCCTGGGGCAGAGGGGGGAACACCCACCCCTGGAGGAGACAGGCTGGGCTTGGAGCCAGAGAGAAGAAGTGCTATTTTTGTGGTTTTATATCACTATAGACAGGAGCCAAAACTGCCCCAAACCTGCTTTACATGGAGACAAAATTGTTCTAAACTAAGCCCTACATCTATAGATAGATATAAATGTAGACATAGATATAGATAAACTAACTCTAATCTGCCCCAAGGGATCAGTTAAGAAGACCCTGAGCTACCCTCACTGTCAGGGGGATCGGGACAAGGGCTGGACATAGGGGAAGTTTCTGGCAGCTGTTCACAGAACCCACCCCTGGAGCCCCCCAGGAACCAAAACATGGCCATCTAAAACCCGATAAACTTCCCAGCATGGACCACCTGGACCGTGGGTCACCAGGTCTGTGCCCAACATGGGTCCCTGTGGATCATCCAATGGGGGTCCTCTGATGGCTGATGGAGTTGGAGCAGCAGCCAAAGCTCTTCCCGCAGTCGGGGAACTCGAAGGGTTTCTCTTGCTGTGGGTCCCTTGGTGTGAGGTTGTGGTGGTTTGAAACTCCCAAAATCTAATTTTTAAGTTCAAGCCCCCCTCCCATAGTTTGCCTCTGTGAGAGGGTTTAGTGATGGTATGGACTTGATGTCTTTTTCACCCCATGTGGAGAGTTTTCAGACAAAACACAACCATTCGTTATTGGGGGAAGGGGAAAATATTTACAAAGGTTTATTTACACCCACATATTTACACCCATACATTAAATTAAATTTCTCCTCTTCTTCAATAAAAGTCCAAGAAGAAAAGAGTCTTTTTATCACTTCTCAGGCCACACTTCCTTCATTTCAGTTTTTTGTGGCACTGGTTAGTGTCCTCCATTTTTCCCAAGGGCAGCAGATTTAAATATAGCAGTTAGGATTTTTGTTCTTACTTTGTGGAAATTTCAACCCTGAGCCCGAGCCTTCGGGGAATTTCCTTGTTGATCTTCACTCCTCTTGAGTTAGAACATTGAAGGCAGCTTTCAGTTCAGTCTTACCAAAGCTCTCCTGCTCTGTCTCAGCTTAGTAGCATAATAGAAGCAGCAACAGCAGCAGCAGAGGGCACGGCCACCTCCTCCGCATTCCGTCCTGGTTCAGCTCTCAGAACAACTCCGGGTTTTCAGCTCCTTTCTCCCTCTCTCTAGCTGCTGCTGCATTTCAGGACTCCCTAAGGGTTTGGAAGTCCACCCCTCCTCTTCAAGGAGTCTCTGGGGTTTGGGAAAGTAATACAGTCTTACCCCAAAACAGCTCTGTTGAGTTTTCCTCTGTTTTGTTGCCAGCTCTCCCTCCTGCAGGAACATCTCTGCGTCTCTCAGCTGGCTTCACGTTATCTTGTTGCTACTGGCTACCTTTTGGCTTTCAGCCACTGTTGTCTCTGTTCAGGACTGCTCCGCTGCCACTTTCAGTGTCTTCTGCTGCTGCTGACAGTAAGGAAACTTTTCCAGCTCTTGATTACAGGACCCGGTCCAGCACTGACACTATACCGGGTCTCCCGTGACCTCGGCTGGGGGCTGGGGGCCCTTGGCCCACAGAGGGGCTCACTGGCCCCCTGCTTCCTCGTGGCTCAGATCATGGCTACCCTCCTTCTACACTCCCTTCACTACCTTCTCTTCCGTTTCTGTGGGTATGTAATTTCCGTAGGGCACACATGGACTATTGATTGGTCCAGTATTATCAGTGGGGCAAACCATTACTACCTCAGAGAAAAGGTTTTTCAAACCACCACAATATGGAAGGGATACATTTTGTAAAGTATCTGGACTTTTAGAAAGCTTTTTTTTTTTTGCAGATACAGGTAGACTGTCTTCAAATAATGTCATGTTTATGTGCTACTTCTGTATAAATTTGAGTTTACCCAGGTTATTTGTGAAGTGGCTTGTTATTTTTATAATCTGTGTATATAGATACATGTGCCTTTTATTTGTGGAAAAGGGCAGTATTTTCATATAAATCCATTTCATTAAATGTCCCATTTCACCAGGGAGAACCTGCGCTAAACTTTGATTGTATTTTGTACTTACTGAGTTTGTAGCATTAATGGTTGGGGATGTTGTAGAACTCACATTTGACAACAGTAACAGCAGTAACAGGAGACTTCAGGTATTTGTAGAGGAGATTTTTGGGGCCTGTTTCTTGGTTTTGGGAACACAAAGGCTGATGCTTGGCAGGGATAGAATATTGTTATTGTAGTGTAGGTCACATTTTTATGAACTGATGGATGTCCTGCAGCAAACAGGGCTGATGTGCAAATGTGTGTGTCAGTGTGTTCTGGAACTTGGTTGTGTAACTGTCTGATGGGATCTGTGAGAACTAAGAGTTGGTGTTTAGAAATGATCTCATACCTGAAGAACAACAGAGCATATCTGAAATCCCATGGGAATTTTCAGTGTAGAGGGTCAAAACCACAGATATTGCACAGTCTGTTCCAATGAAGGCAAGACCAGTCTGATGATGATGAGGGGACTGAGCCTGTGAGACCCAAGACTTGTGTTCCTAATGTTAAATCCTGAAATGTCTAAAGCTGCAACTTTTAACTGACCTGCTCTTCAAAAAACAGCAAAATTAAAGATTAAAATTAAACCCCACAGTGTCAGGAGCAGATCTTGGCTGACCTGTATGTTCCATGCTTAATACAAAATTGAGCACTTCAGTCATAATAGTCTGCACCTTTCCTGGATTGCCCTGATGCTGTTTGTGCTGAACAGGTATTACAATAAAGGCAGTTTTGCCTGTCCCTTGTTTACTTTTCTGAGCTCTTTGGAGCTGTCTTTTCTTGTAAGAGCAATATATGGTTATCTATGTTTTTCTGGTGGTAATTTCTCAAGGGATTTGTGTACAGGATGGGGCCTGAATTTCTTGGGTGGTTTGCACAGGTTCTTTGATAACACATTCCCTGGTGATACTTGAAAGTTTTTTATAAAATGTCTTTTGGAGCATATGCTGTCATCTGTAATGTTTGTTTGTTTTTTTTCATTCAGGGATGGGATACTCACAGTCTAATGCTTGGTCCTTAGGATTTCTTTATTATTTTTAATTTTAATTTTTTTAAGATTTCTTTATTCTTTTTGATTTTAAATTATTAGGATTTCTTTATTATTTTTAATTTTAATTTATTAGGATTTCTTTATTATTTTTAATTTTAATTCAAGTGTTTTAATATCCCATTTTCCCTACAGATGTGTGGAGGAATTGATTTGCTCACTGTAAGCAAAATAGCTGCTCTTGGTCAAAGGACTGGTAAGTTGTTCTTCCTTAATAACATTTACTTTTTAGCTTTTTAAAAAAAGACCTTTACAAAGGTCTGGTTTTGCACAAAATGATCTGTAAAGCCAGGATGGTTTTCTGCTTGTTTGGTTTTATTTCTTTTTAAATTAAACTGCGAGCTGATAGACTTCAGATCATTCCTCATATAGTCAAAAAAACCCACAAAATTGGCAGGCTTGAGTAGAATAATTAAAATTAATAAAAAAAAATTCATCTCTACTGGATGAATATGGGAACAGAATCTTTTCCAGTTTTCTTTAACTAAAAGGATTTTGGTCTTGACCTTTTGTTGTCCCTGCCACATTTTGTGACTTTGGACCAGTTTTATCACCGAGTTCAGTCCCGAAGCAAAAGAGTGGAATTCATGAATTGGAGGAATTCAGTTTTTAATGCGTGTCCATGAACTTAGTTTTGATGCTTTTTGGCAAGTATTTAATCTCTTCTGCTCCTGGGCTCTGTGAGTTTTATTACTTTGTTCCTTCAGAAGTCTTAAACTGTTTTTCCCACTGCAGGTCTGTGTAGAACAGCAGATTTCTTGCCATGTTTCTCCTTCCAGCTCTTCCTCAAAACTCTTCCTGTGCTATCCACTGACACCTTTTTAGCCCCCAATCATCTGCTCGAATCTCTAAAACATGTGACTCATGTTCCATTTTTATATGCATCTTCATACGACTCCCAAATCTTTCTGTGTGCATTTTTGTTTGTTTTCTCACTGGGTTGTAAATTAGCTGTTGTCACACCTGGTTTCTTGTGCAGGACTTTGGCCTTTCAGTTACACACTGAGTAATTCTTCCCTCCTTTTCTGGTTTATAATCCTTACCTAAAGGAAGGGGCTGAATGTGAAAGCTTAATTTATTTAATGCAACAATTGTCTAAAAAAGAAGTTGCTTCAAAAAGCAATTGCAAAAGCATCCAAATGTGTGGATCTTGAAAGATCTAGTATTGCCCTCTCTGGTTAGGGTAGATAATGTTTAGTTGGAGCACTGATGTTTATTTTTAATTTGTTTAAGAGAAGAGGGAAAATATTTGAAAACACCAGGAGCTTTATTGAAGTTGACATACTTTGCTTAATGCAATAAAGTTGATTATTTCAAAATAACACCCAAAAAAGAGTGCATCTGTGAATAAAGTCACATCTTACCGGGAATTCCTCTCTAAATGTGAGAAACCTGGCAAACAGCCTTAGCTAAAAATACCCAAACCTACGTGAGTTGTGCTTTGACTGCTGTGCTTACAGAACATCTGATGGTGGTAAAAGCAGATTTAGGGCTGTCCAGGGCACTCATGTTCTGTGCAGTCTCTGACAGGAACTCATGATGGACTTTGCTGGCCAGAAAGGACACGTCTGCTCTTTCCTGCAGTGTCAAAGTTACCAGGGATGTGTCTTTGAGACTAAAACCTTGCTTTAATGAACTTTGAGATGTAGACCTTGAGGTTTGGTTTGTTCACAGCCTCCTTCTGTCCATTCAGCTCCCTCTGTTGGAGGCAATTCCGTTTCCAGGGGAGGTCACCTCAGTTTTTAAGTTGAAGTCTCAGATTTCACTCTGGAAAACTTGGTCAATGTGTTGGTGTCTCATGCGTGGGTGTTGTACGTGTTGGATTTCAGTCTCCCACTTGAGGAACAGAAGGTTTCAATAGACCTCAACTGGCTGAAGCCCTGGGTTTGGCCATCAGGCCTTGTCTTTCACTGCTGTGGTCTTTTAATAGAGCAACAGAGAATTGCAGCAAAAAAACTGAAGAGAAAAACTTTGTAAATTTTGTTTCAAAATTGTTACCTTGACCCTTTGGTCAAGGTCGGGAATGGTTTGTCTCCCTTGGCAGGGAGTGTCAGTACTCTGTCATTCTGACATGACTGCCCAGGTCCCTGATTTTATCATGACCAAAATACTGGGCTTGGAAACCAAAGCAGGAGCTGGTAGATAACAGCAGCTTGAAAAATGGGCTGATGCCTAGTTGATGTGACAGAAGGAATGAAAGACTCGTGACAGCTAAGAAAAAAATTGGGCTTTTCAGTGCCTACCTCAGGTTAGGATGACTGCATGTGTCTTAGTGGAGGAAGATGTTTTTGTAACTTTATTGAAACTTGTTAGTAAAATGTGCCTTAATTCCTAAGGAAACAACCACTGTGAAATCTGTAAAAACCAAATGTAGATTTCCAAAGTGTAGAGGTTGCTATTAATATTTTGGCCATTCCTGTGGCATCTTTTTGGTGTGTGAATGACTTTGAGAACAAGAACGTGTTCTTAATTATAACACATTACCTGGTCTGTTTACTGCTAATTATTTTACAAGGTTGAGAAAAGAGTTTAAGATGAAAGATGTGGGGTTACTTGCAAAGTTTTTGGTACAACCAATGCAGTTGAACCTGGTAGGGAAATCTGCCCTTAAGTTGGTTTTGGCAGATCTCATGAGTGTCTAAGGCAGAGGCCAACCCAACTGGAAAGAGCCTTTCAAGGGTGACTAAGATGTAACTAAATTACCTTTTTGAGAGGTGGGGAAAGCTGATGTCAGGAATTAAATTTCCTTACGTTAAACTTATTAAAAATATATTAATATGCAAATATTAAAATTATTTTAATGATCTTCTTTATGGGGGTTTCACTGTGCTTATGTTAGTACTTCTGAGTGTTTGATTGTGACAAAAATGGACAGCTTTGTGGTGTGGGGTTTTTTTGTATTTTTCATGTTTTGATACTTTGGTCAAGGCATTAACATTAAAAATCATTCAAAATTTTAATTCATCTTCAAACATCGAAATAGATTTGAAATTAGGTTAATGAGAACAGTGTGGAGGGGAAACAACAAGCCTAAAACCAAAACAACCCCAAAAACTGTTCATTTTTTCATTGTATTTTAAACAAGGAAGTCTGTAGAGCAGCAGAAAACAGGACACGTGGGCAGGTGTGAAAGTCAGACTGGGGCTTGTTGCACTGGTTCCAGTGCTCTTTGCTTCAGTGTAACTGGTCATTTTGAGATGAGACTGGGGAAACTTGGCTGCCAGGGCAGGGACCACAGGCTGGCCCCACTGGTTTTTGCTGGGCAGTGGGTAATTTCTGCCTCACTTGTCAGAATCAGCCCATGGTTATCAGGGAACGGGATAGTGGTGAATTTGGCTTTCAGACTAAAATGAGGTTAAACTTACACATATTCAAAAGAATAAATTGATGTTGGAGTGCAGATACTCAAAATCCTGAAGACCTTTTGAAACCTTTTTTGCATATCAGTCCTACAGCCAATGCTCTTCCCGCAGTCGGGGCACTCACAGGGGTTCCCTTACCGGTGGGTCCGTTGGTGTTTGGTCAAGGTAGAGCTGTGGGTGAAGCTCTTCCCACACTCCCCACACTTGTAGGGTCTTTCCCCGGTGTGGATGCGCCGATGCCTGATGAGGGTGGAGTTCTGGTTGAAGCCCTTCCCGCAGTCGGTGCAGCGGAAGGGTCTCTCATCCGTGTGCGTCCGCTCATGCCTGAGGAGATCTGAGCTGGTCTGAAACCTCTTCCCACATTTCCCACACGTGAAGGGCTGTTCCCCCGTGTGAATGCGATGGTGGGCGTGAAGATTGGAGCTGTCATTGAAGCTCTTCCCACATTCCCCACACGTGTAGGGCCGCTCCCCAGTGTGGATGTGCTGGTGGATACGGAGATTGGAGCTGTCACTGAAGCTCTTCCCACATTCCCCACACGTGTAGGGTCGCTCCCCAGTGTGGATGTGCTGGTGGATACGGAGGTGTGAGCTGTTCCTGAAGCTCTTCCCACATTCCCCACACGTGTAGGGCAGTTCCCCAGTGTGGATGTGCTGGTGGGAGTGGAGGGTGGAGCTGTGCCTGAAACTCTTCCCACATTCCCCACACGTGTAGGGACGTTCTCCAGTGTGGATGCGCTGGTGGGTGACGAGGTGGGAGCTGCGGTTGAAGCTCTTCCCACATTCCCCACACGTGTAGGGACGTTCCCCAGTGTGGATGCGCTGGTGGGTGCGTTGAGTGGACCTGTCACTAAAGCCCTTCCCACATTCCCTACATGTGTAGGGCCATTCCCCACTGTGGATGCGCTGGTGTTGGATAAGGTTGGAGCTTTGCCTGAAGCTCTTCCCACATTCCCCACACGGGTAGGGCCGTTCCCCAGTGTGGATGTGCTGGTGAGTGAGGAGGGTGGTGCTCCTGCTGAAGTTCTTCCCACATTCCAAGCACCTGAAGGGTTTCCCCCTGCTGGGAGGCTGCTCAGGGACCACCAGCTCAGAGCTCTGGCTCAAGCTCCAGCCGCCTTCCTGGCACAGGCTGGGTCTTTCCTCCTCAGAGCACCCTGGGATGGCTTTGGAGCCCCTCCTGTGGGGGGATCTCTGGGCCTTTTCCTCCCCGCTGCCTTCCTGCGCCGGGGAGCCCTTCAAAATGGCCTCTCCCACCAGGGTCTCACGGGGGGATTTGTCCTCTGGGCTCTCCGCCATCAGCTCGGGGCCTGGGGCAGGAAGCAAGAAGGACAGGGAGGGGATTTGCCTCCGGCTCACAGGGAAGGACAAGGACATCCCCCCAACTCCAGCCCCGGCAGGACGACGGTGGCAGCGGGGTTGTCCTGCAGCCGGGGCCATGCTCGGCTGACAGAGCCAGCACAACACCCGCCCAAAGGGCCACTGACTTCCTCCTCACCTGCCTGGGGGGCCCAAGGCATCTTCCTCTTCCTCGCAGCCTCCTCCTCCATCTGCCCAAGCTTTGGGAAGGACAAATCCTGATGGGGGGGAAAACAAGGGCTGAGTGCGTTGGCTTGGGGGTTCCTCCTGTCCAAGTCCATCTCTAGAACTCACTGGGTATCCTGTGTCCATAAAAACCTCCAAAACACCACGATTCAGCCCAGAAATCCCAAACCAACACGATTCAGGTAAAAAACCTCTTAGAAACAGCGAGATGAACCTCCTCACAAACTACAAAAAGTTAAATTTAAGCGAAAAAATACACAAAATATGAAGAGTCAACCCCAAAAAAAGTGTCTAATTGGGAGGATGAGGAGAGTGACGTCACTTCATGAGCACTTGATTGAGTTGCAATATATTAATCAAAAGCTGTATTAATGTAGTATCACTTAAAACTCTCCAGGGCTGTTCCTTGACGTTCTCTGGCCCTCTGCCAGTCCGGGGCTGTTTCTCCAAACCACCAAACCAAGTGTGCCAAATGCCCTGGTTGGTCAGTGCCAGCTGGGGGAGCGGGAACTCAGTGAGGGGATGAGAAAACTGCACCCGGGGCTGGGCTGAAAGAGGCTTCAGCACCACTTCTGATGGCCCGGGGGCAGCATCTGGCTTCTCCCAAACAGAGAGATGGCACTTGTTCTTCTGCAGGGAGTCAAAGGCAGCAGGGTGACTCCTGCTGCATGGATGGAATGGCAGAGGATCCCTTGGGTCCCCCGGTTGGATCAGCACTCGGGGATACAAACTGCCCTTAGGCTCAGGATGCAGCTGCCAGCACAGATTTCCCTGCAAAGTCTGCAGTGAGTCAAGGTCTGGAGAGCAGGTATGCAGGGACCTAAGGGGATTATGAACAGGGGCCCAGCAGGGACAGCCAGGGCCTGCAGGGGAAGGCACAGGGACAACCTGGCCCCCCACACAGCCACTGCTGTCTCTGCTCCTCCTTGCAGGCTCCGTGGCCAGGCACAGTTTGTGTTCCTGGGTGCCACCATCTCAGCACTTGCAGCCACTCAAATCAGCGCCCGCAGCTCTGCAGCAAAGCCCCAGCTCACCTGGCACACAGGGGATGGACACAGCACCTGCTCGGGGATGGGCATGCACAGCTTCGTCCTCTTCCCCACCACGGGGCTCTCCTTCCTCAGCAGCACCTCTGCCTTGCACTTATTCTCAGCCTCACCTCAGGGACAGCTCTGGCCTCACCTCCGCGCCACTTCTCAGCCTCACCTCAGGGCCTGGGCTCAAGGACAGGAACCTGCAGGGAGGGGACATCATGTGCAAGCTCAGGGCTGCCTGCTTGCACTGGCCTCTGGGCTTCTTTCTCCTTCTACAACCAGCCCAGAACTTAGCCTGCTTTGCTAACATCACACATTTACAGACTAACCTTGGAGACAGATATGGACAGACATCTCTATCACCCTGGGGATAGAGCCTCAAGCATGTGCTCCCATAGGAATGGCAATCAGAGAATCACAAAATCAACCACGCTGGAAAAGACCTCCAAGATCATAAAGTCCAACCCT